AAAAAAAAAAAAAAAAGCTAAGGGGGTTGTTATATCCTAGATCTTCAGATAAGTTGTTTATTATCTGTTGATAATGATTGCACGTACACTAAGAACATACCATTCTGCATAATATTTATTTATTTATTTATTTATTTATTTTGTCTTTTTGAGACAGGATATCACTATTTCAGTTCAGGCTGGCTTTGAGCTCACTTTGTAGTCCAGGCTGGCCTCGATCTCACAACAATCCCTCTGCCTCAGCCTCCCGACTGCTGGGATTACGGGCGTGCACCACCGTGCCTGGCTGCATAATCTGTAGCCTATGATACAGATTTTTATTTGTCTAATTTGTTCTTATTGCCATGAAGATTTTATAATAGGGTAGAATTGAAACTCAGGTTTTAAATGTTTTTATAGTAAAATTTTATCTTAATTTTAAAATTTTCTCATTATTTTAGATTTACAAAATAGTTGACAACCAGGTATGGTGGTGCATTCCTATAGTCCCAGCTATTCAGGAAGCTGTGGCAGGAGGAACCCTTGAGGTCACAAACTTGAAAACAATCTGGGCAACATAGCATGACCCCATCTCAGACAAACAAAAGTGGCAAAAATAGTACAGAGCATTTCTATATAGAAGTTTTGGGAAAGAAAGCCAATATTTGCATGATCTTAAAGTATTTTCCCATAGAATTGTTTATAAGTTGCAAGTGAGGAAAATGGGGGAAAAAACCTCACAAACTGTAATTATGTGGTGGGAAAATTGGGCAACACTTTGGGTATTTATGTAAAAGAGACGCAAAGATATTAGTCATAGCCCTGATGAGCCTGTATTCTGACTAAGGCATAGCTTTACTTAATCACAGAAAATATTAGGCAAAAAATTAGGAATTTTACTAGAAGTTGAAGTATAGAGGGAGCTGTGGTCCTCAAAAATGCCAGTGTCTAAAGAAGAAGGCTATGGAAATGTTCCAGATTAAAGGAGGGTAAAGAGATGTGATAATTAAATGTAATACTGTGTCTGGACAGCTACTGATACTATAGAGGAAGAATGCTCTAAGGGACATTATCACAAAATTGGGTTTAGGGTAGAACTTTAGGTAAAGATCATATTGGTATAAAATTATGAAGTTGGTTATTATGCTTATGTGAGAAAATATCCTTGTTCTTAGGAACCAGACACTGAATGTTTAGAGGTAAAGAGCCGTGATGTATACTCTCCTGTGGCTGCAGAAATAGACATAGATGTATAGATATAGAAATAGCAAGCCAGGGATGGTGGCACACACCAGTAATCCCAGTGCTTAGGAGGGGGAGGCAGGAAGATCACTGTAAGCTTGAACTGCATAGCAAGACTGTGTCTCAACAAACCAAGGGAAAAAATATAAAAGAAAGAAAGAAATAACAGTTGGTAGAACAAATGGATTCTCCGTTAATAATTGACAAACCTTAGTAAATAAGCATGTAACTGTTACACTATTTTTGCACCTTCTTGTAAGTTTGAAATGGTTTCCAAATAGCATATTAAAATTTTTTTCATACGTATTTCATGTAGTTTTGTCAGCTGTTAACAGATTTTAAGTTGTAATACACTTTTGCCAGTTGGCAATGGACAAGGGAAATGGGCAGCCTTTTCTTCCTCTTTCCCTTAGCCAGGGTCTTGCTCTGTTGCCCAGGCTAACCTCAGACTCACTATCTTTCTGCCTCAGCCTCCTGAGTTCTGAGATTACAATACAGATGTATGCCATCACACCTGGCTGTGGACAGCCTTTTCTGATGCAGAAGCTTTTTAAGTCTTTGGTCAATTGTGACTGTTCCTTTGACTATACAATCTTATTATTCCTTGACAGAATATTGATTGGCAAATTGAGCATTAAACCAGATCCCATACTATCAGTGCACGGGCAGGAAATTTGAGCTATGGTCAAGGCAGAATGAGGTCATCTGCCAGAAATCTTAAGTGCATCTTAGGGCAGTTCTGAGTTCCTGTTCTAGTTGATGTAGCATCTGCACATTTCCCCCAAGGGTTTTTGAGTATTCTGAGGCCCCTCTAAACTGAGGTAGTTGACTATGGGACTGTTAGAGAAGATAATAGTTATTGAGATAAACTTTCTAATCTATAGTTGAAAAAATTTTTTAGTTTAGCATCTATATTTAGTTTGAAGTTTCACTTGATATGACTTACCTAGTTCTGCTTCCTGCGTATAAGAGGTTCTAAAGTTTTGCAGATTATTTTGGAAGTTTAGCACAGTATCCATGAAGTGTATGGGCACTAGTACTCTGGTTACCAACTTCTATTTTGACTGTAGGAAGTGTGACACCTTGTGGTAATTGAGACAATAGCTGGAAAAAATGTTAGATGATCAAGATTCCTGCAATGAAATTTTCATTGTTAACATTACCTGGATTTTAATATGAAAATTCTGAGTCATTTTTTAGCCATATTGCTTTTCAACTCTTTGAGATGACAAGTTCAGATATGCATAAATGTTGAAGAATAGTATAGTTGTTTCCTTCTGCCTGTATTGACAATAGACTGGTGAAAAGTAAACCATGCAAAACTTTGCTTCAACAAAATTTGCCAGAACTTGTTTGAAAAAGAAACAGCTGACTAAACATTAACTGAGCCCCTCAAAGTCAGTAACTTCACCATTAGTTCAGGTAATTGGTGCCAGGATGAGCGGCATATGCTCAACCACTTGAGTTACATCTCCAGACCATTAAAAGTTTTTTTTTTTTAATTATGAGACAAGGTCTCACTAAGCTGTCCATGTTAGCTTTGAACTTGCTGTTCTCTTGCCTCAGCCTCCCCAAGTAGTTGGGATTAAGGTATGTGCTATTTTGCCCAGATGATGAGAACTTGGTAATGAACCAACGTTCATTGTATTTGTAACAAAAAATTGAGATCATTTTAACTATCCATTAATAGGAGGTTATTAGAAAAAATCATGATACAGTTGGTAGGACTGTTGGAGAAGGTAATAGTTGTTGAGATAAACTTTCTAATCTGCAGTTGAAAAAGCATGGCCATCCAAATGGTCTAGATTGATTCATAAAGGTGTCCATTATCTGCTGTTAATTTAAGTATAAAGGTTTATGAAGCAGTGTGAGTGCTGTAATTCTATTGTCTTTTTTTGTTTTTGTTTTTTTTTGAGAGAGGGTGTCACTATGCAGTTCAGGCTGGCCTTGCGCTCACTTTGTAGCCCAGGCTGGTCTCAAACTCGCAATGATCTGCCTACCTCAGCCTCCTGAGTGCTGGGATTACAGGCGTGCGCCACCACGCCCTGCTTTCTTTTTTTGTCTCCATTTTTCTTTGAAAATATTTACACAAATGATTTCTGGAAGGATGTATGACAAATGCAAATAATGGGTACTCTTTTTTTTGTTACACTTTTCGGTTTTCCATATTTTTATTGTGAATATAAATTACTTTAAGGATTTAAAAAGTTATACCCACTTTTTGGAGGGAAAATGGATAGAATTAAAAAAATAAAATGATAATCATATATGGTTCATTTCAAATTCACCTGTGTCTTCTTCCCACGTTAGGGATTCTGGGTTGGGGCAAAACTATGGCCCAGTGTCTGGACTGCCCACCCTCTCCCTGGTATTTTTGGCGCTCTCTCTCTCTTTTTTTTTGTCCTTTTGAGGCAGGGTCTCACTGTGCAGTGCAGGCTGGCCTTGAGCTCACTTTGTAACCCAGGCTGATCTCAAACTCAAAACGATCTTCCTGTCTCAGCCTCCTGAGTGCTGGAATTACAGGCGTGTGCCACCACACCCAACTCTCCCTGGTATTTTTCATAACCTATGTGCTGTTTATTCTTATCTTTTTCTTTGTTCTAGAAATCACACGTGGAGTTAGGGAAAGTGCTTGACCAGATACAAGCCTCTTAAGTGCTGGTGCCAGTACTGAGAGATTTCTAGGGAATTGAAGGGGAGGTTGTGGACTTTATCTCCCCAAGAGTTAGAGATTGAAACAGGCATAGTGTCACAAGCCTATAATCCTAGCACTTGGGAGGCTGAGATTGCCATAAATTTAAAGACAGCCTGGGCTACGTGGTGAGTTGAAAGACAATGTAAATTATATAGCAAGACTCTGTAAAACAACTAAGGGTAGAGTTTGAGTCTGTGTTGTTGTAACTGCTTGGTAACTTCTGTATAATAACCAGAACCATCATGGATTTCTCTTGACTTGTCAGAGATGGCAATTCCCTGTTGGTGACACGATAATGAACCCCAGTATTAAATAGACAGGGCAGTGCACAGAAATGTTCAGAACAAAGTTGGTCTAATAATGAGCACAGTAGTTTACCTGATTTGTAAAAAATTGAGGTATAATTTATAACTAAAAAGCAAGTCATAGTCATCCTGTTACTTGGTAGAACTGAGTATTGCTTTTCAATTGATGACAGTAGATGGCAGTGTCTCTTATGCTAGAGAAACTAAAGAGGAAGGAAACTACATTTAGAGTTAAAATAATGCTGACTTCTTGTGTGACTATTAATCATATTAGATGGCAGTTTTGCTAAGTAGTCTTAAAAACAGAAATTTAAGTACAGCCTCCTTTGTTTTCAGGGAGGAAATCATGTTGTCACTTTTAATACTTTATATTTCAGAGGGAAAATACAGACATGACTATAAAGTTTAAATGAAATTCCCTAGTGACATTTTTAGTGCACTTTATTTTATTTAAATATGTCCATTGGCTGCCAGCTTTCCTTTGTTTAAAAGGAATAGTAATAAGATGTGACAATAATAAATGTATAGTGCCAGCAGCAAAAGAATGTCTTTGTAAGAATAGTGATTATGTGAATTCTGTGCCCATGAATGTAGAGGTGGGTAAAGAGAAAAGGATAAGAACGGAAGAAATAAGTGAAATGTGAAATTTTATGATCAGTCTAAAATGGTCATGTCACTTAAAATGTCACCTGAGAATCAAGATGCCAAGTATTAAAAGTGAGTTGTTAGTAAGATTTGCTGTCATTTGTCTTACATGAATTATGTGTAAAGTAGATGTGTCCTTTGTGATCAGAAGAAAAGAAAAACAATTTTTAGCAAATTTTAAGAGAAATTATGGTCCTAACACTTTTTGTTTGCCTCTGTATTTAATTATAAAATAACTCATACATATAAATGGAAATAAAATGAAAGGCGTTAGTCCTAGTGTTTTCTTCTGTCTTTATTTTTTATAATGATAGTCTCCAAACCCTGAACTCATGTGTGAGCTGAGTTCCCTTGCCAGTTTCAGAGCCATTTTTGCCTCTGGTAACGAAGAACAGGGTAATGAACTTGTCTATTCACCACTTTACCCTTAATCAGACTGGATAATCTCTTTGACTCTCACTTGCCAGGTTAAATGAGGGTAAAGTAACTTGTACATGAGACAAACTTTAAAAGTTTAATCCTTTGCATATGAAATCATCCTTCTTTGATAGCTCAACACAAGGTTGGACTGTAAGAGAGTGGGGACCACTTACTTTTTTTTTTTTTTTTTTTATGTCTTCTATACCTAGAAAAAAGCCTGCTACAAAATTGGTACTTATAAGATGTTTGTTGAGTTAATAAGTAAGTTTTGAATCTTTATTTCATAGACCCTGACTTTGTCAGTTTTGGGACAATGAATAGGGAGTGTGTTATCTGCTGGCTACCACAGCTTGTAGCTTTTACTCTGCCCACATTTTCTCCATCTTTAGAAAACACACCATATTATATATTTATAATAATCGTCATACATATAAATATTACAAACGTTCTAGTGTTTATGACTAAAAGTGAATTCAGGCCATTTAAAAAATACTAAGACAGAGGATGTAGGCCTAGCCCCAACACCACACACACACAAAAAAATCAGAACACAAACGTACCAGTGTTACATGAAGGGCATAATGTCACAGGTATTCCAGAAGACAAAATTTCTCTTAGAACTGGAATAAGGGTGATGATGAGACATCTAAGAATAAACAAGCATTTTTATAATTTTTAAAAAATTTTTTTATTTTCATAATTTTTAGCAACTTGATAAAAAAATGATAAATTTGTTAGCTAGAGGAAGCATGTCATTACACACAAACAGCCCTCTGTGGCACATGTGCCATAGGTTTGTCACTACTGGTTTATAGTTACATTAACCCTAACAACTGACGTCAATAGCATATTCTTTTTTCTTTTGAATCTTAGGTAATTATTTCAGCATTCATTTTTCTTATTTGCTTCCATTGCATCTTTATACATTTTTTTCTATCTTAAAGGCCTCCCATATGTTCTGGGTTCTGGGGCTAGAAAATAATCACATGGCTCCTGCCTTTGAAGTGTTTCCAGTCTAGTGATACAGATGTGTAAAGAAATTTGATAATGTTGGCAGCGATGTATTATAATGCTGTATAGGGCCGGGGATATAGCTCAGTGGCACAAATGCCTGCCTAGCAAGCATGAGGTTGTGAGTTCCATTCCTGGTACCAAAAGAAAAAAAAAAAAAGTGGTATAAAGTAGAGTTAGAACACTGAGGATAGGATTACAGCAGTAGGTGAAATAAAAACAAAGGATTTGTCACCATGTGTAACTGCTTTCAGGTGTTTAATTGAAAAGTAATTGGTTACTGAGCTATGAGACATGTACATATTGTGGCAGTTACCAGGATGGTATTTCTAAGGCATTTCATGTACATGGATTTTAGAGCAGAACTTCCCTCCAAATAGAATGTGACTTCCTTCCCTTTATATTTACTGCTGCCATTCTATGAGTTAATTTAAGTTCCACCTAACTGGGTATTATATAATTAATTGTGTAATTGGCCTTACTAATTCACTTTTCTGGAATTTATTCCTGTGTATGAAGGAAGTTATGCTTGTATAAATTCTTAGATTAATAACCTTGTGATTAAAGGTTCACATTTTAATAGCAGTTTATGTTTGGATTGGTTATAGGCCAACAATGTGTATGTTTTTAACAGTTTATTTATGGTTAAATTTTGTTTCAGAATTAAGATACTTTGGAAGGAGGTGCAGAAACTATAATGTTAAGTTGATATTTCCAGAGAAGGTAATATTGGCTAGCCACTTGTATTAAACATTCTTTTTTGCTTTTAAGGTTTTGTATTAAAAATAAATCTGGGAAAGATAACTTTTTTGAATATCATATTTAAGTACCTCCTCTCCTTATGTTATTCTTTTTGAATATGGTTCTAAGACTATTTAAACTTCTGTGGCCTTTTCAGATACAGTTAAAAAACTCCAGGACCAAAAACATGACATGGAAAGAGAAATTAAGACACTTCACAGGAGACTTCGGGTAGGATAAATCTTCATGTGTTATCTTTTTAGAAAACAATTTCCCAAAATTTAAAGTGGGTCATTGACAATGTTATCGCTCCCTGAAATTTGAGATACATTGGTGATACTAGCCCCATTGGCTTTGGGCAGAAAGTCAATGACCATCATTTCCACTTGGAACTAGTGCTAGACTAAAGATAGAAGAATGTACTAATAATTTATGGGCAGCAATTTTAGGAGAATAGATTTAAGAAACACACATTATACTTTGGAGAGAAAGTTTAGTAGATTTTGATCATAAAGTGTTCCAAACTGGACTGTTTGCATGAGTTTTCTCTATTCTGTGGATTTGATCAGCTTGCCAACATCGATACTGCTGTGGTATATGTGTGTGCATGCGTGTAGGGGGAGTACTAATCTCAATTTAGGTCATGCCACAGTTGTTGAGGGTGCCTTAAAGGTGTCAGAAAATTGTTTTGTGGGTAAGAGATCTCAGGCACAGGCGTGGGCCTGCTGTGGCTCTGGGTGGAGGTGAAGCCCTGGGGAGACTTCCCCACCCAGCCACACCCATGTCTGTGGGAAGCAACAGACTATACATTCCCTTACTGTTTCTTTGTATAATTTTGTCTGCCTATATTGGGTTCACTGTTTTTCTTATGGTTTCCTCTTCCTTTTCCTTTACTTTGGGTTTTTTTCTGTTAGTTTTTGATGTTAGGATATTTATAGTTTTTTACTATATGGCTTGCATACCATTCATATACCTTTTTGAGCTTTCCAGAGGTAAAACTCTAAATTTTAGATGTTTTTCCATAAAACTTACTTTGAAGCTTGCATGAGGAAAGGAGGTTTGACATTATTATCATTAATATTTATTGAGCACTCTGAGTGCTTGATGCATCAGTAGGCAGATCAGCTGGAAAATCTTTCCCTCATCAAGTACAAATTTACTAATCATTACATAGCCTGTTAGAAATAGGCAATAGCCATTTTCTGATACTAACAAAAATTAATCATCCTTTGGGAGTGCAGTGCATTGTAGCAAGCTAATGAAACAAATTTTATTGCTTTTTAATAAATTCTCATTGCTGTCTTTTGGAAATAAAAATTCAGTTTTTTAATATAGGAAGAATCTGCAGAATGGCGGCAGTTTCAGGCTGATCTACAGACTGCAGTAGTCATTGCAAATGACATTAAATCCGAAGCCCAGGAGGAGATTGGCGATCTGAAGCGCCGGTTACATGAGGCTCAGGAAAAAAACGAGAAACTCACAAAAGAACTGGAGGAAATAAAATCACGCAAGTATGTTCTGAGAAATCAGTTGTGTACTATGTTTCGATAGAGAACACCTAAACTGCAATTTTGTGTTGTGTTATTATGGGAAGAATGTGGGAGTTGACACTACTGAGTTTGGATTTAGTAGAGATTAACTTTTCTGGGTCTCATTTTTATAACGCCTGTAAAGTAGCACAGTCTGTTTGGGATTTTTCAGACTTGCTTTCTGTGTCAATAGTCAACAACTCTGGGGGGAGCCAGAATGATACCTGGCATAAGGATACATTATGATTCTCCTTTTCCTCATCCTTACAGCCCTGTTCTTTTTCTTTATATTGTAGCCTTGTAAAGAGACAAATGTGGCTCTTGTCGCGCCTTGCCAATTAGTAGCTGTGTGATCTCAGTCAGGAGCTTTAACTTCTTGAGCCTCAATTTTCTCAAAAATCTTTAAAATGGAAACACCACTAGCAGCTTTACAGTGTTGTAAGGAGCAAGTGAGGTAATGCCTCCGAGATGCTCAGGGCAGTGACCAGCAAACTTGAGCTACCTTAGTATTTTTAGAAACCCAAATAAAGAAAATGCAAAGAACATTTATCTCCATCACTCACTTGTGGAATTTTCAGTTGTTTTATCCTATAATTGCATGAATCTCCACAGTATTTTTCCCCACATCTAACTCAGAAATCATTGGAAACCTGTAAAAATTATTAGTTAAGGTGGCATCTGTTATGTTCTGAGCTTCATAGTGAAACTCCACCTATGACTGAGGGGTAGTATTTAATTTTTGGCAGAATTTTCTTTTTTTTTTCTTTTTGAGACAGGGTTTCACCATGCAGTTCAGGCTGGTTTTGAACTCACTTTGTAGCCCAGGTTGGCCTCGAATTCACAGCGGTCCTCTTGCCTGAGCCTCCCCAAGTGCTGGGATTATAGGCATATGCCACCATGCCCGGCTTTTTTCTTCCTTTCTTTTCTTTTTTTTGTCTTTTTGTTTTTGGCAGTATTACAGGTTGAACCTAGTTTTAGCTTCTGCATTGCAGCTGACTTTTTGTGTGTTTGTGTTGTGCTGGGGATTAAGCCTATGGTGTTGTGCATGCTCGGCAGGTACTCCAACACCGGGCTACACTCTCAACCCACAGCTAATATTTAAGTAACTATAGCTTGTCAAATTTTTAGTGTAATATCAAAAAATAAATACAGTTAAAGATTTTAAAAATAGCCTTCCCTTTTCCAAGCATCTACCTATTCAAGGCCTGCATTTTCATACCTCGTAGATTGAATACAGAAGAAATGAGAATCTAGCTTGTGCTGTCTTGTAAGCCAGACATTAAACAAATATTAAGAAATAGAAAATACTGCTAGGCTTCCTACTAATTTTTCTTTTGATTTGAAATTGTCTTTTTTTTTCAGAAAAATATTTTCATCATATTAAGTCCTAGATTTACTTTTTTAGACGAATTAAATATTTTATGTATTTCTTAGCTTTAATTAATTTAATGGAAGATAACTTACATAAACAAGGGCTGCTTGAGATCATCAGTCATTTTTAAGACTGGATAGGTGTTGTTATAGATTCTTTATTAAAAATCTTAGTCAGCTCGGTGCAGTGGCACACCTATAATCCCAGCACTGAGGGAGTTTGAGCAAGGAGGATAGAAGTTAGAGTCCTGCCTGGCGACTTAGTGAGACCCTGTCTCTTTTTTTGTTGTTGTTTTTTTTGTTTGTTTGTTCGTTTTTCTCCGGTACCGGGAACCAAACTCACGACCTTGCACTTGCCAGGCAGGCGCTTTTTGCCGCTGAGCTAAATCCCCAGCCCCGTGAGACCCTGTCTCAAAATAAAAAATAAGGTCTGGGGATGTAGTTTAGTGTAGAGTACCCTGGGTTTGATCTGAAGTACTGGAAACAAAAGACGAAAACTTTTAGTAATAACAACTAGCTGAACATGAAACCTGTGCTCCATCTTGAGACAAAAAACCTACTTGAATGCCAAATGGTCACATTTTTTGAAGGATTGGCTTCATTTTTGTCCCTAGAAGCATATTTGATAGTTTTATGACATGTGCAAACTTTGAGTTTGTAATCTCATTCCAGATAAAAACTTTTATGTCCGTCAGCTCAGTGAATTAGGGCCAGAATGAAGTAGAATTGAATTTTCTGATGATGTAGCATGCACCATATTAAGCTGCCAGGGGGTGCTCATGTTACTAATAGAGGTTTAGGTTTCTTTGTAGAAATTCTATTTGGATTCTGTAGCACTTCGATTTTATTTTGTTCTTTAAGAGCATGGGCTTTGGTTTTATTTCTTTGTATTTCCGTGTCTAAGTAGAGCATTTTAGCTAGAGCCACCATATATTATCCACATGTGCTAATGAATTCCCAGACTTTGGGGAAGGGTCAGACGTTTGTGCAGCACTAAATCAGAGATTCACAGTTCTGAGTCAGTCTCTGTGGTTGATCTGCCTTCCATTTTACTAGTAATTGATTACTGATGTCCTCACCTGACACTTATCCAATAAAAATGGAATTTGATTGTTATTTAACTTACTTAGGATAACTTGATAGGAAATTTTTAATGTCATTTCCTGGTATTTACCAAGCAAATGAGAATATTGAGCCAGGTAATCTACTCTGCTCAACCGTTACAATTTTAAAAATCCCCACAAAACTAATGCCTTTTAATGCTTTTCAGTTGGGAGGAGAAAATATGTATTCTTTTATATACAGAGTCTGCCAGAAAAGATGTATACACACTAACAGTTCACCATACTAATAAGTGTCTGGAAGCTAATAGCTACCACTTTGAGCACCTCTTGTAATTGTAGAGGTCAAAGGTAACTTGTATTAATCTCATGATGTCTCAATAAATTTGGTACTAAAATGTTTATGCAAATTTTTCTTTTTCTGATGTATGCATTTTTTGGGCAGACTCTGTATATATACAAATTCATGTACTTTAATTTTTTCAAGGCAAGAGGAGGAGCGAGGTCGAGTATACAACTACATGAATGCTGTTGAGAGAGATCTGGCAGCCTTAAGGCAAGGGATGGGACTAAGTAGAAGGTCCTCAACTTCCTCAGAGCCAACTCCAACAGTAAAAACCCTCATCAAGTCCTTTGACAGTGCATCTCAAGGTAAGTAATTCATTGTCCAGTGTACCAAAGGTGTATAGTCATAATCACTTACCATGTTTTCTGGTATGATAGAAAATAAATATCCATGAGTATTCTTAGTAAGTGTCAACAAGATAATCTTAATAAAGATGAATTTTATTCTCTAGCCTCAGTCTTTCCCCATTTATAAATGGTAGCACCATTCTATCCACTATTCTATTCATATCTAATTTATTCTTAGCAAGTCTTCTTGATTTAGTCTTCAACATGGATCTTTGCTCAGTCTGCCTCTTTTTTTGTTTGTTTGGTTTTAATTGAGATAGGGTCTCACTATGGAACCCACGCTGGGTTTGAAATCTAAGCAGTCTTCCTGCGTTAGCCTCCTGAGTGCTGGGATTACAGCCATATGCCACTGTGCTTGGCCACATCTGCTTCTTTCCATCTCTGATGGCACAGTCTTTTAGTTCAAACTACTGTCAGCTACTAGTTTCAGTAACCTCCAATTCTCCCATTTCATTTCATGGTAGACCTTTTCTTGCTTAAAATCCTTTAATTACACAGCAAGACTCTGTCTCAAAAAACAAAATAAAAAACACTCACAACTTTGGTGGCTCTTTAAACAGAGGCCAGTTAAGAAAGCCTTCCATTGCATTCATTATGTATGTACTTGTTTTTATAGTACCAAGCCCTGCTGCAGCTGCAATTCCTCGAACACCTCTGAGTCCAAGTCCTATGAAAACCCCTCCCGCGGCGGCTGTATCTCCCATGCAGGTAAGTCCTCAGGACTACTGAAGGCTGTAGGGCCTCACAATCTCAAGTTAAGTCCTCTGCTTCAAAGTCATGCACGCACGTATCAGGAGGTAGATGACTACCTCAGAAGGATGTATTCAGGATTTGTTTCTTAAAGTAATATGAATATATTTGAGATACATTATATAAATTGTAATATATTTTTGGAAAAGTAAAGTACCTCTCAATATATATTTGGCAGATATCAGCTTCTGCTGTATAGCAAATTATTTCAAAACCTACTGGCTTAAAATGGCAGTTTTGGGCCAGGGATACGGCTCAGCACCCTCCTGGCAAGTGCAAGGTCCTGAATTCTATTCCCAGTACCAAAACAAAACAAAAAAAGTTTTACTTTTCATTCTTCTGGGTTGGCTGTGTGCTTCTTTTGCTGGCTCTGCCTGGGCTCTCCACCTGCATCAGTGCTCGCGTGGATTATGGGCTGGGTCTGGGATCAGCAGGATGCTGGGCAGCTCTCTCACACAGTCTTTCTTCTTGGGCCCTTACACACCATGCTTTCCACAGCTCCAAGAGATCCTTGCATGATCCTGGTGGGGAATTTGGACAGTGAAACTTCTAGCCTTTTCTTCTGGTCCAGGCAAGACACAAGGTAGCTCAGATTTGGAGGGGGAAGAGTCTACCCAAGGCACAAGTTTAGAGATGTGTCATCTCAGTATAGTACAAAGACATCACTGATCTATAACACCAAGGTTTCAGAAGTTACTGTTCCTTGCTGTTGTGGGAATGCAGACTTTTAGAAACTATGGCATCAAACAGAAAAAATACTATACACACGTTGCTGGAACTTCTGCTTTGTGCAGTAAGGAGAAAAAAGGGTTCATCTCTAATCTGCTAAGTATGATGCTAGCTGTAGACTTTCCATAGGTCTTCTTTTTCAAGACTGATTCCTATTTTGAAGTAAACTTAAAAAGTTTTACACCTATAAATAGGTGTAAATTTTTATTAAAATTTTTGGTACAAAAAAAATAAAATAAAATTTTTGGTACAAATACAGAAATTAACTTTTTTTTTAATCCTTTATTCTTTTAAGGTAAATTTTAACCTTGTATTCCTGGGGTATGCCATACTTGGTAATGGTAGATTGTCAATTTTAAAATTGCTAGATTTAATTTGCTAATGTAAGTGTTAATCTGTATAATGTGTTAATCTATATTCATAAGAGATATTGGTTAGTAGTTGTCTTTCTTTGTAATGTGTCTGTTTCTGCTACCATGACAATGGCGTCATAAAATAAACTGGGAAATCTTAATTTTTTTTCTGTTTGAGGCTGTCTGTCCTTTGGCTGCTCTCATCTGTGTGAAAATACTACACCTCAGACAGCCTCAAACTCAGTATCCTGTGGTACAGGATAGCCTTGGCCACAATTATCCTTCAAGGAATAGAGAACGTTGTCAGCTGTTGGCCATTGTTTTATGGCTAGACTTTATAACTTCTTAAAACGTTTAGGATAAAACTATGTTCCTTCCACAATTGTGTTCCAAGTCAGTGGCTTTCCATTTATATGTATATATAAGATATGTCTTAAAAGGAAAGCAAGGGCAGAAATTCCTTATTTCACCTGCAGATTTAATGCTCTTTATACATTGTTAATCAGACTTTTTCTAAAAATCCAAAGATGTAAATAAAGGTAAAGTATATGTGCCAAATATAATCAACTTCAAATAAGGTGAAGTCGGGGGCTGGGGATTTAGCTCAGCGGCACAGAGCCTGCCTGGCAAGCGCAAGGTCGTGAGTTGGATTCCTGGTACTGGAAACCCCCCCCTCAAAAAAAAAAACAAATAAGGTGAAGTTTCTATAAGTGTTTCTGTAAGTGTTGGTCAGTTGAAGTTTAATGGTCAAGGCATTATTTTTAAATCTTTTAAAGATAGGAAATGAAAAATCTAATTTCTATAGCTTAAAAAAAGCTGAAAGCTAATAATTACAAGCTGTATTCAGTAGCTTTTTAATGCATGATTAGTACAGTTGTTCTCAAACCTGTACATAAAAATCACATGGAGACTTTTCAAACACACAGATTTCCAGGCCTCATTCTAGTGAACCAAAACCTCTGGGGACTGGGATTGTTAGTTTTTCATAACTCTGGGTGGGAACTCTACTTGTGACCATGGAGAAGCAATAGGAGCTGCTATCACAAACAACTAGAAAGCTGGAAAAAATATAGGAAGCAGTTATTTTCAGACATTGTACCTATAATAAGCAGCGCCAAACTATGATGACTGAAAAAAGTTAAGAGATGACGGAAGTCCCACTATGGGTCACATTCTTTGCCTGGAGGCAATTTCCAGATGGATAAATTGAACTTGGTAGTAGACCTAAATGTACAGGTTAACACAATAAAACATCTAGATGAGGGCATTTCACAGAAAATCTGTATGACCTTTGAGAATTAATACAAAGATTCCTTATTTATTTATTTTTTTAGATTTCTTATTTAGAACACATAAAAGCATGAATTGTAAAAGCAAATTGATAAATTGGGTATCAGAATTTAAAAGCTGTTTAAAAGGCATTATAAGAAAATGTAAAGGCAGCCGGGTACAGTGCTGTACACCTGTAACCCTAGCACTCTGGAGCCTAAGGCAGAATTGAAAGTTAGAACCTAGCCTGGACAATTTAGCAACTTAGTGAGACCCTGCCTTAAAGTAAAGAGTGCTGAGAATGTAACTGAGTGTGAAGGACCTGGGTTCAACCCTCAGTATTGCCCCCTACCCCACAAAAAAGATTTGAAAAGACCTCTCTTAAAAGATGTACATGTGACCAATAAGCATTTGAAAAGATGTGCAGCATCATTAGTCATCAGAGAAATGGAAATTAAATCCACAGTGAGATCCTAATCTACTCCCTTGAGAAAGGCCAAAGTTTAAAAGGCTAACAACAGCAAGTATGGTAAAGATGCAGAGAAGTTGGACCTGCTGCACATTTCTACTGGGAGTATGAAATGAGTAGCTAGAAGACAGCTAGATTTTTTTTTTAAAGGCTAGAATATAGCACAAGGAAAAGTACATATAAAGTATTAAATGTTTTACAAGTTTAAATATTTGCAGTGAATATTTCAAGCTGCTTCTGTATGCATAAGTCTGGAGATTTAGGAAGCCAGTAACAAAGCTGTTGCCAGTATTACTGAATGAAAAATGACGTGTTGTACTGAGGCAGTTATGGATTTAGCAAATGGGTAATAGAATTGAGATCTAATTGGAATCAGGGTATGAATGACTAATAAACCTACAATAGGGACACATCTGTATTTCCTTTTGGATCTCGTATTTAGTGAACTAACGTGATATTTTAAAAATTATCTTTAAATAGAATAATAAAATCATGATCAGAAAACTAGTAGTTGTCAGAGATCTTTAATGGGGTCTGGAAGGGGAAAGATAGTATGACTGTAAAAGGGCCACAGAAAGTATCTTTTTGGTAACAAAGTGTTCTGTATCATTACTGTGTCAATATCCTGGCTGTGATATTTTGCTGTCGATTTATAGGATGTTACCACTGTGGGAAAATGAGTGAAGAGCACACCAGTCTCTGTTATTTCTTACAGTGGTATGTGAATGTGTAATGACCTCTTTTAAGAAGTTTAATTTTTAAAAACATGTTCATCACATTATATGCCCTGCTGTGTATTATAACCTTACTGTTACAATATGGAAGTAATTATGCAAATTTATAACTAAATATTTACTCTCTGTGATGTTTACTTTCTCTGTCTCAGCGCTAAGTTTAACCTAACTGTGATAATGTTCATCCTGTGATTTCAGAGACATTCTATAAGTGGACCAATCTCAACATCCAAACCCCTCACAGCCTTGTCAGACAAGAGACCAAACTATGGGGAAATCCCAGTTCAAGGTATCTCTAATATGTCACAGCATTTCTCTCTCTCTCTCTCTCTCTTCTTCCCTTCCTCCCCTCCCTCCCTCTGTGTGTGTGTGTGTGTGTGTGTGTGTTAATTTTTGGATTCTGTTGGCTGCTTTGACCAACTTGTTACTTTCTTTGTTCTTCACATTATTTCACCCAATCTGGTATACAGTTGTCCCTTGCTGTATTATGGTTCACTTATTGTGGCTTCACTGTATCACAGGTTTTACTAAAAAAATCTAATTCTGTATCATAGAGTTTTTGCTATATCGTGGGATTTTGCATTATATAGGTATTTATATAATATTTATGATTTTAATTACTTTTGCCTAAAAAATTTAAAATAATATAGAAAATATAAAAAATGTTAATTTGAACATATTAAAAGAATATTAAATAGAAATAAAATACAATATGCATTTCATCACTGGATGAATACCATACTGTACACAATGGAAATGCAGTACCCCACTACCACTTGCACAAGTTTGCCAACATGAGATTGTACACAGCACACTGTTGGCACATGGAAGGTCATCAGCCACAGCACTGTGGTCTATATCCTGGGCACTGATTGGCTCACTGACTGTAGCATTGGTCTGTTTGCTCTGCCGCACTGTGCCCATATGTTCAGCATCTTTCCTTGTCCACTTCACATCGAGTACCCGTATAGAATTTTACATGTTGTTAAAATTACATAAGTTTAAGAGTGTAGAAAGTGTTTGAGAGCATATGAAGTGTTTATAAGAGTGTGGGAAAGGTTTGTAGGAGTGTGGGAAGGATTTATAAAGCCTTAAAATGTATATAAATAATAAAATAAATATAAATTGGCTACTTGGTGGATTTTCATCTGTCGGGGGGTCTCTGGAACATAACTCCTGCGATAGGTGAGGGATCACTGTACATTTTTATTAAAACATGTACTAATAATATGTCTTAATTACATATGAGGAAATAAGTCGTTAACCTGCAGCTTTCATAGCAGTTCTCTCGTAACATTGTAATAGATGGTAGGGAGTGGGTATCATCACTTGGCACGGTTACACAGTTGTTCATGGAATATTAAATCAGTTATCTCTGTTAATGAACAGTAGCTTAGGAAGCTTCACTCCACAATCTATTTTCTGCTGCGTATTGAAGCTGTGGTTCTGGGGGTGAGGTCCAGCAACTCTGTGGAGTCCTTTTTTTTGTTTTGTTTTGTTTTTTGTTTTTCTCTGGTACCAGGAACCGAACTCACGACCTTGCGCTTGCCAGGCAGGCACTTTTGCCGCTGAGCTAAATCCCCAGCCCCTCTGTGGAGTCCTTTGAAAGGGACATTTCTGTTCTCACATAGCTCTTTACAGTGGAGCTGGCATCAGAAATCATCTCCTTTGTTTTGTGGTCTGTACTCCTTTTCGTAACCCACATTGCTGCTTCATGTACCGTGGGAAGGTGGGCCCATGGTGTCAGGGCGCAGCACTGTGAAAGGTAGTGCTTAGCTTGGGGTGAATCGTGGGGACACTCCCAGGTATCCATGTCCCTTGGGATTTTAGGGCTCTTCTTAGCTATTGAAGACCAGCACTGTGGATTCTCTTGTTAAGGTAGTTAGGCTCTGTTAGTGGGACTAAAACACGCCAACAGGTGTGGATAAGAAATAAACAGACTTGTTAGAAGTGTTTAGAGAGCTGAGAGGATTGACTCTATGAGCTACATGTAACACCAGTAGTTGAAGAGTTAAGTTTGGTGATTGAACAGGCCCCCACACCTGTCAGTCTTTAGTGTTCTGTTAAGCTAGTTTTATACATATTGGGGGCAGTGGAGCACAAGGTGGCACTGCTGCCACCTTACTTACACCAAGACTTACCTGCTTCGTGGCTTTTGCTTCATTTGGTCACTTGTGACCTGGGCTTCTCTCCATTTAGAGGCTTCTCTTGCTAAGGAACAAACAGTAGAAAGTTTAAGTCCTATTGACTTGAGTACTTTTATCTCATCTGTTTGTATTCCACCTCCTAGATGGATCCTCAAAGGATTTGTGACTGTGGCACAGGGCTCATAGGCCTCCCTGTGGCTTGGCTGTTGATTCTTTGATGCTGCTTTCTCATCTATAAACAGACAGTAATAATGAATACTTAGCTCACAGGGTACTTAAATTCCTCTCTTGGGCTCTCCTGCCCATCAGACCTCCACCTCTGTACTCCACCAGCATGGCTGTTGATGTCTCAGTTGACTGTGCTGGATTTTATTACAAAGTATCTGTGTGAACGTTTTCTTAGTAACACAGGTGGCTAAGAATGATAGGTCTTAATTGTTTACAAGTAAAAAAATTTAGGTAGCCAACTTCTGCAGGATTTTGCTTGCTGCCAGCAAGTAGCTGTGAGAAAGCATCTATACATGTTGTGTCCTGGGCATCTTCAAAGAGCTACATTCATTGAGGGCAGCAGAGATGGAAGCTAGTAGTTCAGGAACACTCCACCTCTGCTACCAGTATCCTGGTTCTATCGATAAAATCAGCTTTTTGACCGGCATTCTGTGTCAGCCTGCTCAAAACCAGGAGCCAGGCACATCATGCCCCTTGAGAGTATGTGTAATCCTTTGCCAGTGTTCTAGAGCCTTGGCTCTAGCTTGGCCATGGCTATGTGGTGCTAGCCTGAAAAGTCCAGTAGGAGAGACCCGCATCTGGAGGGTACTGTGTGATCCTGAGGCAACAGAGAGTATCAAGTTCCCATGACCCATGTGACCTCTAAGAAGTGACTCAAAACCTTATTTAGGGACTTAGGAGCAATCCCAGTCTGCAGCCAACCCTTATTGCCTCAGTTCTCCACGGCTGCCCTCTAGACTGATCTTACTTGTGCCACAGCTGGGCAGGGTTTACTAGGAAAAACCAGCCTTACTTGAGTCACTTCTTAAAACACAGAATCCTAGGCCATCCACAGAAGGGAGCTTGAAAATTCCAATTTCCCAAGCATCCCATCTTACTTTTAGGAAAGAATCAACTTAGAAAATAGGACAAAAGGGCTGGGGATTTAGCTCAGCGGCAAAGCGCCTGCCTGGCAAGTGGAAGGTCGGGAGTTTGGTTCCCGGTACCGGAGAAAAACCAAAAAAAAAAAAAGTAGACAAAGAAAATAGGACAAAGAATTAAAACGGTTTAGTTATTTCTGTTTTCTTGGCTTTTGTGGATGGAAAATGAGTGTGGAAGGTCTGTGGGCCAAGGTTATTTAAGACAGGCTAAATACCTTAAGAGTGTATTCCTGGCTCTGCTTACTTTATTATCTGGTGTTGTATCCATGACAGTGCCATTGGGCATGGATATGTGTCTACAGCTTGTGTTAATGCTGATCTCATTCCTGCTCCAGCCTCTTACAATGCCTTAATAGGCCTTAGTTAGAATGTTGCAAATACAGCAAGCAGGGAAAACATTTTAAGTGAATTTTTATCTGGGAAGTCCTTGATACAGTAATCTTTTTTTAAAAAAATTAGTATATGTTTGCAGTACATAATGTTTACATTTCTTGTGGGGAGTTGATACATGTACACAACACATCTTCCTTTTTCTGTTCCTCCACCCTCCATCTCTTGATCCTCTTTCCATTTGAGAAAGATATATTTTCCTACTTCTGTATCTTTTATTTTGCTCTTTATTTATGATTTGGGTTTCTCATCTACGAGAAATCATGCAGTATTTAAGCTTGTGTGCCTGATTTATTTTGCTTAACATTATGGTCTCAAGATGCATTCCTTGCTGGGCATGGTGGTATACATCTATGACCCTAGCATTTGGGAGGCTGAGGTGGGGGATCACCTTGAATTAAAGGGAACCTAGGCTACATAGTGAAAACTTGTGTCAAAAAACAAAGAAACAAACAAAAAGATGTATCCCGCTTATTACAAATGATTCAGTTGATCTTTATGACAGAGCTACATTGTATATTAAGAACTAAGAACAAGCAAATGATTCTTGGCCATAAAAGGCCATTGTGATAACCCATTCTGTGCTAAGAGCTTAAGATTTCCAAGGTGTATCATCTTGCTCTGCTTTTCTTCCTTGTTTATCTCATTTGTCTTGGCATAAATTTAAAAAGTAGCCTATAATTTTTTATTTTGTAGACTTCAGTGCTCTTATTATTGAAATTTAAAAAATTGCTGTCTCTTGTTCTGCTTGTACTTAATAAGATAATTTTACTTTTCTAGTTAAATATGTTATAATGGGATATTTTTGGTTTGTTGTATTTTAGCACTATGCCTGGTTATCAGTTACAAGAAAATGTTTCAGGCTAGAGATCTTATTATAAATGGGCTAATCAAATAGTCTTTTGTTGGTGGTGTTGGCAGTTGAATTCTGTGGCTAAGGTCATGATTGGTGTCACCTCAGTGAATCTTTGCAGATAGTATGTAAATTAACATTTGTGCTAATTTACAACAGAAATGCATGGATCTGCCACCAGTACCAAAGATAGGTAGTTATATGACATAGGTAGTTGGAAAGATCTTTACTGTTTCAACTTGCACAGTGATAATTAAGAGATCCAGAACGTTAACAGAAACCTCAGCTTGGTGATGTGAATGGTTGAAGAGCCTGAGATTCCCCCAACATCAGTGGGGCATTATTGTCACTTCTCTCATTAGTGCAGACCAGTGCCACATAATGGATTATTTCGGTCAACAATGGACAGCATGTACAGTGGTAGTTATGCCACGCCACATGTAATTCAGGAGTGTAGAATGCTGTACTATCCAGATTTGTGTACAAGTACTCCTCAGATGTTTGCACAACAGAAAATTACCTGAGAACACACCTTGCAGTGCATCCTATTAAGTGATGGTAACTGTAGAGACTATAGGAAGTTGATTAGCCCAAGTGTAGTTGTTATTCATACTGATATGTTTTCCCATCCCTATTAGTCCTGTCTTTTCCAGAAAGTCATATAAATGAAATTGTACCTTTTTATAGTATAGCCTTTTTATATAATGATTCTTTGTTTGTTTGTTTTGAGGCAGGGTCTCACTAAGTAGTA